CAGTAAATCACAGTAAACCACATACTTTCTGTGATTTGCTTCGATCACAGCAAATCACAAAATCCACACGTCCCTGCGACTGTATTACTGCGTAAAAATGCTATTGTGGCTTCGCTGATAAGAGTTTGATTAATGACATAGTTTAATCATAATAACTCCAACCGTTATAAAATTTTACGTAAGATCATGGTAATTTACAACTCGTGTTATGTATGTGTAATTTGTATAGATTTCTGAATGTAAAGTCATTATGACATGATCATCTATGACATAATTCATCTATGACATAACAATTAGATTTAGTACTATTCCTTTTAACGAAACAAATCAAACTGCGTTTCGTATATGCAAAACTAACAAGGAAATCATAATATGTAATATTTATGTAATATCAATGTAGAGAACTTAATAAAATAGAAATCAATGCAATAATTCACTTTATCGAACAAGAAAAAAATATTCACAATCTAAAACAATCGTTGTATATTGATATTCATTCACCTTTGTCTAATTACTTGAAGATGAATTTATTCGTTATTATTCACTTGTTCATTATTATCTTCCTTTCGTTCACCGTCGGTCATCCACTCGTAATCAGAATTCAATATGATTCTAATTTACTCTCTTTGGATTCTCAAGTGAATCCTAGGGAAATGAATGTGGATGCAAGTGCAGACTGTAAGTCAATATGCAAAAAACAATGCAAAGGACGAAAAGGACGTGAATGGGACAATTGTTACAATGGTTGTATGACGAATTGTCATTAATACACTTCTGAGAAGTTGGTGTTTTCCGAATGATAAAAGATAGAATATAATGAATGCTAAAATAACTGCTTGTTGGTGAAGCTAAACATGAATGATGTGCAATTTATGTAAAAACTAGGCATGCTATAATTAAAATTTTATTAAGTGCTTGTTTAATAAAGCATTTATTAATTATGTTGAGATTAACATGAACCAGTTGAATAGTAAACATAAGGAATCATCGTTTCCAAGCATCTCTTTGCAATATTAAAAAATGTTGACATTTTCATTAAGGGCAATATTGAACCAGAAAAAAAATAAACTTCTAAATTTTTTACATAGTTGTGAGAAGAATCAATCTTTTAAAATAGAATTTAACTAATTTTAACCCCGGGTTAAAATTATAAATTTTAACCACCCTGTAATTTATTATAAATTTTTACTCAAATTTGAAATTAATATTAAAAAAAAAGATATAAAGTTTAGGGTTAGGGTTATAAATAGGCTAGAATAAGGTTTTTTATAGTGCTGAATATTTTTACTTAGTGCACTAAACATAGTTATTTAAGCCGTTTTTGAGTTATAATAAGGGGGTGATGTTAACCCGGGGGGCAAGTTAGCAAAATCCTTTAAAATAAACAACTGGTTAAAAAGTTGTTATTTTATATGTTATACGTCGTTTTGAATTCAGAATGTGACATAAACCATTTGAATTTGACATATACAGTTATCATTATTGACAATTTGATAACAATTTAAAAAAAAAAATTTCAGCGTTATATCGATATCGACATGTTTAGTTGACAGGCATACCATCTAGGAACTTTTCGAATTTTATTTATAGAATGAGTTTAGTTCAAAGTACGTTATTCTTACGGTATAAACAACTCTTAGTTTTATAATTTGTCCTGCTGTAATAGTATTTGCGTTATACAATTCTTGTAGCATTTCTTGAAGAGATAAGAGTTAAAGATTTGTTAGTACTTAGTAGTTGAGATTTCAACTTGATAGGGGTTTTTAATAAAGTATATTTTTGGGATATATTACCCCGGTGAATTCCCCGGTTAAAATTAGCAATACACGACTTTATATTACATTTTTTTAGTATAACTAATAGGCAAAATTACGTTAAATTTTTTTTTTTAAAATGAAACTCTAGAGTAGCTCTACAACGTAATAGAGCCTAATATCATCAAATTATTAAGATATTTATACTCAAAATTTTGTTACTAAATATCTCAAGTTTATTAATTATGCTAAAAAAAAAAAAAATTACATATATATTTATATGTAAATTACAGTAATACACAAAAATTCGAGCTATATACCCTATGTTTTGATTAATTATTTGAACACTAACGCACGTACAGTACTACATGAAACAATATATAATATAGATTTAAGACAAAAAATCTTTGCTGAGTATTTCAACATTTCAGATGAAATTATTCTTCTCATATAACATATGGGATCTTTGCTAGGATTTTTTTTTCCTAAAAATAGATTTATTATGTTTTTCTTAATGGGTATCTGTAGGCCAACATACTAAATTTAGTATGTAAAAAAAAAATATTTCAAATTAAATATAAGATTAGCTTTAACCAAATTTTAGAAAAAAACCTTTAAATCAAACTTAATATCTTTACAAAATTTTTAATAATATTTACTATTAAAAAATTTTATAAATTAAATTACAAATTATTATTATTTTTTTTAATTTTGGTATACTAAATTTAGTATAGTAAAAAAAAAATTCTATCTTTATAAATAATATAAAACACTATTATAAAAAAATAATCACAATTTATTCAACATTTATTTATTATTTTGAAATAGTTAATTTGTTAAAAGATGTTGGCTATAACAACTAATACATATTGCCTTTGATGTATTACAAATACAATGATATCTTGTTCTTGTACTACAGTATATACAGTGTAACTGCAGATAAATTGTAACATTTTTAGCTTTTTTCTTTTTTGGAAAAGTTGCTAATTTGTATAATAATTCTGTTTCTCTTTTTCACTTTTGTAATCGTGTATTTGGCAATAAAACTCCACTATCAGAAAAAATTTCACTAACCATCTCATCTGCTAATAATCATCTAAAATCAAAATGTGATATATTATGCACTTCACTGCTCCATTTTTTATAGATCAAAAAAGCATTTGCCTTAGCAACTCCTAATAAAAAAGCATACACATGCATTTCCCAACTAGATTCACGCATAACATCATGAAAAGATGTCATATTGTCACGCATCTAATAACCCAATATATATTTTATTAATTGTTAGTATAATAAATAAAAAAATAAAGTTACAAATATCAGATCACATTGTCGCATTTGTATTACTATAACAATTACTATATTACAATATAAAAATATTGTAACAGTAATACAACACAACAGCATTATAATAACAATATAATTAAAAAAAAATTTACACACCTGATTATTAATATTAACGGCACCTTTAGAACAAAAATATTCATAAAAAACTTTTGGTCTTGTAAATTTAACCACTGAAGAGTTAGCACCTTCTTTAACTATACGATTAACCTCATCACACAATGTTGTAGTTGATGCAGTTGCAACAATACATTGTGATTTTCGATCTTTCAAGGAAGCCACTATTAAATGCACATTATTAATCTTTGTAACTTTTGAAACATAAGATCCATATGTGCTTCCAAGCTTTTGAACCATATCACGGGGATAATTAAGAGGCCATTCCTGCCTTTTTTTAACATGAAAGATACTATATAATCTATTCTGCATTAATGCTATACAAAGCTTCAGGGACCCAAACCAACTATCACCAACTACAGTTCGTCTACTACCATATCATGGTTGTACTAAATGCAAAATATATACAGTTGTACTACCATAATCTAAAACAAACTTTTTTTTTTTCTATTGCTTTTTCTTCGCAGGGCTCTAATTGAATGATAATATTTGTAGAACCATCTGCTAGTGTCTTCCATTCTTGTCCCACTGGATGTGGTTTGCGTGGTATATTACGACGGTCTGGTATTTTGTTTTTACTACCTAACTATGAGTTCATTGATTCATCGATACATAATGTTTTTTCGGGCTTTACAGCTTCAATTAGATTTTTATTAAATGCATCAACAAAACTACGAACAGAATACAATGGGTCATTAAGATTTGGTATATCTAATTTACACAGCATCATTAAAGTGTAGCAAAATACTATTTGCTCAAACTGTAAAAGAGGCATCCAACATTGAAAATTAAAAGACATCATAGGCTTTGTTAGCTTCTCTGTTGTTCTCCAATAAAAATGACGATCAGCTATGGGAAAAGCAGACATCAATACCCATAACCCCAACCATTTCATATATTCACCAAAATTTACATCAACCCAGCCTCGGACTTGTCTTCTACACATATTAATAGAATTAACCATGTGCTGTCTAATATAATCAAGCAGAAGATATCGACACAGCAACTTAAATGGCGAAGCTAGTCTAATAAATTCGATGTTAATACTACATTCCTAGTTATATGAAAGATGAACTTCACATTGGTCAATAGTTATAGATTGTTTCTTCTATGTTACTACAGTAAAAAAGTCAATTGTATCACCATCGTCATCGTTATCCTCTTCATCTTCATCGTTATTATCACCATCATCAGAACTAATTTCATTATCATCAGAACATTCCATAGGAACTGTTAATAATTCATCATTTGATAGTGGTT